TCTCACTCTTAATGGCCAAAAAACAACAAAAGCCAGAAAGCCTAAATATCCAGTAATAGGAGAGCAATTAAATAAAATGCCATAAAATCATTACCTGGATTATCATGCATCATGAACAAATGATATAGAGGATACTCAATAACGTTAGAAAATATTTATATAGAATAAGGAGAAAAAAGAATACCTAACAGCAAACAGAATAAAATCAAAACGAAAAATACAGTTACAAAATATCTGGAATGAGGGATCCCTGGGTGGCGCAGCAGTTTGGCGCTTGCCTTTGGCCCAGGGCGCGATCCTGGAGACCCGGGATCGAGTCCCACGTCGGGCTCCCGGTGCATGGAACCTGCTTCTCCCCTCTGCCTATGTCTCTGCCTCTCTCTCTCTATCTCTCTGTGACTATCATAAATAAATAAAAATTAAAAAATATATATATATGGAATGATATATATCAAAGGGTGATTAATTATTTTTGGATGATGTATTATGGATAATTTATATTTTGTTCCATTCTATATTCTGCAAATACGCCACAGTAAACTTAGGAGGCTTTTTTGCAAGCAGAAAAATATATATATATTAATTTTTAAATGTGAAATTCTACAATAGTTGAAATAGATCCATCTCTCATCCTCACTGTCAAATCATATCACTTTTACTGTGAACTATGAATCACATGTTAACACAAAGTAAAATTTTAATGGTTTGATTTTAAGTAATAAAGAAGACTAACAAAAATAGGTAACACACTTAAAACTGTATCAGATTTTACCATCTAAACTATTTAAGTCTTTCAATAACGTGTAAAGTAGAATCACTCCTAATGAATGAAATTACCTTATATGTAAAAAACTTTCAAAGGTCTTCCCAATCTTCATATTTATACATTAAAACTTAAATGTCAAGAAAATATATCTAAATATTGCTGTCTTTCTCTAAACTTACAGCACTTCTTATCTGTATTCACAATTAGGCACATACTACAGACATGTAAAATACTGAAGCAGCTTTGGTAACAGACGTCAGAAGGGCCAAGATCAGAATACCATCTCCCACTCTTGGACCTGGGCAAATTAATTTATCTCTCTGAACTACAGTTTCCCTAGCTGTAAAACTGAATAATATTTAAAGCACTGGTGAAGGCTAAATCAAGAAACACACACTAAAAAAAAAAAAAGAGACACACACTAAGTGCTAAGCACAGTGCCCAAAGAAGAGTTAATAAATGGTAGTTGTTACTAGAGGCACAAGCAATAGCTTTTAAGTCACAGAACTTGCCAAGCCATTTGAAAACTCTATGAAAAGTTACTTAACCTGTACGGACCTCAGTTTCCTTATCTACAAAAGCAAACAAAAAAAAACTCATCTTGCTGGTTTGTTCTGAGGATTAAGTAAATCTATATAGAAAAATCATCCTGCATATATAATAGGTGCTCAATAAAGTGTAGTTGGTATTACTATTAGTTAGCTACATCAAGAAACATTTGAATAGGAATTCCTGGGTGGCTCAGCGGTTTAGCGCCTGCCTTCGGCCCAGGGCGTGATCCTGGAGTCCTGGGATCGAGTCCCACATCAGGCTCCCTGCATGGAACCTGCTTCTCCCTCTGTCTGTGTCTCTGCATCTCTCTCTGTGTCTCTCATGAATAAATAAATAAATAAAATCTTTAAAAAAAAAAAAAAGAAAGAAAGAAAGATTTGAGTATAGAGATTAGGTTATAAAATATTTTTACATATAAACTCCCATGTAATTCTAACAATTAGTCATCATTTAAATGCCTTTCTCTTAATTCCCAAATTAAGCATAGATTTCAGAAAAATGTAAAATATGGCAAACTTTTTAAGCACATTGCAAAACAAAAGGCCACTTTGTTAGTTTCTAAATAAAAATGTGCTATCTATAGCTAGATCTACTTTAATATTTTCACGGTCCAAATAAACCTAAAAGAGTTGGAAGGAGGGATGCCTGGGTGGCTCAGCGGTTAAGCGCCGCCTTCGGCCCAGGGCCTGATCCTGGAGACCAGGGGGTCGTACCACGTCGGGCTCCCTGCAGGGAGCCTGCTTCTCCCTCTGCCTGTGTGTCTCTGCCCCCCCCCCCCGTGTGTCTCTCATGAATAAACAAATAAAATCTTAAAAAAAAAAAAGAGAGAGAGAGAGAAAGAGAGACAAGAGTTGGAAGGAAAAAATGTTTTTTTTTCCGGACTTTGGGAGAAGAGAAAAAATTCTAACCCTTAAGGAAGAAAAGAGATACCTGAATTTTTCCCTTTTTTCATGACTTCACATGTTTTTACACAACTAGAATTTAAGTGCCTTTATTATGAGAACTCTTTCCAATCTCTGAACTCCTGTCTCTACCTTTGTTCAGGAGCAGAATAGCACTATAAAGACTATGGAATGTGAAGTGAGACTGCCTAGATTCAAATCCTTACTTCATCTAGCTGTGTGACCTAAGGCAATTTTTAATCTTTCCATGTCCAGTGCCTCATCTGGAAAACAGAAATTCTTCATGCAATTGTGAGGATTAAATGAGTTAATACACTTAAAGAATTCATAAGAATCTACCATATGGAAGGCACATTGTAAGTGTTGCCCATTGTTACTATTCCTTTATTATTCCCCCCCCCTCAAAACGCCTAGATCTGTGATTCTTGAAATCAATAAATATTTGCTACCCAGCAGACAATTCCAACAAATAGCTTTACTTAAAATTAGACCTACTTAGGAAGTACCTAACATGACTGTCACAGCAGTAAAGACACAGCAACTGCTATTAAAGAGGATTTTAGGGCGAAAGTAAGGAGGCCAATTCCCTTTCTTCTACTTCCTGTTATGTTATACAAAGCTATGGCTTGCTAACAGAGGTTCAGTACCAAAAGAGTTTTACAATCTACGCACGGCACACACCAATCCAGCAGATAACAAAATTCTCAAACTCAAGCTCCATAATACTCAATTATACTCCTTCAAAGAAAAAAGTTCCAATTACTCTTCTACTTTAATAGTTTAGTGCTTTAAAATAAAAACTATTTTGCATAGGACAGCAGAATGTTATGAGGATTAAATAAGACATTGTAAATGAAAGTGTTTGAGAGTTAATATGCATTAAATACCAACTTACGAACATATCTGAGAGAACTTAACAGTCTATTTCTCCAGCATCAAACAGCTGCCTTCTAACCAAAAGTAATACTCTAGTCCACTTCATATCTTGGGCCAGGATGAGACATAAATCAGAGTAAAGTTGCCATCCCACTGAACCATTTCCTGCTTGAAATGCACTCTTTTTATACATAACTTAGATGGGACTTCTGGTCTGATATCCAAGTCCTGCCCCTCCCCCAGAACTTTAAGGAGTGACATCCTGGAAGTAGCCTAACTTAAGGCCAGAAAAAGTTCTGTTATCAGAAAACTTCTTTGAAGTCATTAGATCAAAGGATGCCACCCCAATTCCCTACCGTCTGTGATCCTAACCCGGGTACAGAAAAATGCTAATTGTCTCCAGACTCCAGAATGTGTTGGCCTCAAAAGTCAGAACTACCTAGGGCCACATTTCAACTGCAGCTGAGGCCTAGACTGTTTACCTGGCGCACTCTCAAGTGAAACGCTGGGAGTCGGACACCGATCGGGAACACAGCCGTCGAGAGACCACACGGGCCAGATCTGACCACACGTCACTTGGCACCCTTCGCTGAAGCAAACCCTACTGAAGGCCCGCCCGCCTGCCAACCCTTGACCCGGTGGACAGGGCGATGGGCTAGCAGTCCACAGCGCTACAGATTCGTGGGGTCCCAGATGCGTTCTGCCGGCTGTGACTGAACAAATCAAAGTTGAGAAAATGTAAAGAATTTTCTCAATGCAGGCGAAAAATCCAGAGCGTGCCTCACAGACCCAGCTCCTTCATGTGTTCAGTGACATCAAAGGCAGACTATCGGGAACGTGTTCTGTTCACGAAGCCATTCCTGGCCTCGTGAAACGACAGCCCGGGGGGCAACCAGCGCTTTTCTTCCGGGTCCGCACACACCTTAAGGCTTTCCTAAGCCAGTTTCTCCAGCTGTACGGAAAACCGCAGTTACACGTTCTTCTCTCAAAGTTAGACTAACAGAAAAAATATATATATGAAAGTACTTCCAGCGTTTCAGAAGGAATCTGCTACAAAAACAAACAAACAAACAAGAAAAAAAAAAAAAAAACCACCGTACGGCAGTAATGCCAAGAAACTCTTTTCACCCCCAAATCGGGGATGCAGACCGAGCCGGTGCTGCAAGCCCAGGCCATTAAAGCCAGACTCCTCTGTCCCCATCTGAGTTTCTGGGTTGGGAAACCGGTGGGTGTTGACAGGAACCCAAGTTCTGAGCCGTAACGCGACGGGGCTCCCCGGCTTTCCCAGACCTAGCGGCCGGGAAGGGGGCGACCGTCCGCCGACCCGACCCGACCCGACCCGACCCGACGCGCCGCGCCCCGCCCCGCCCCGCCAGGACTCCGAGGCGCCCCGCGGCCCCGCAGCCTTCCGTGACCCTCACGGCCCGCCCGGAGCCCGGCCCCGCGGCGACCCCGCTCGGGAACACCCACTCCTGCGCTCGGCCTCACCCCGTCGCGCACCGCCCGCCGGCCGCCCCCGGCCCCCGGCCCCCGGCCCCCGGAGCCGCGACCACCCAGGCAGCCTCCCCCGGGCGGGCGGGCGGGCGGGCCGGCCGGCGGGACCCCCGCGTCCCCGAGCCGGCCGCCCCCCAGCCCCGGGCGCAGCATCGCGCGGCCCCCCGCGGCCGCAGGCGCCGCACACCTGCCCCTCCCCCCGGACCCCGCGCTCGCGACCCGAAGCCCTCGGGGAGAGGGGGCGGGGAGGGCGGAGCTCCCGCGGCCGGACGGAGACCCGGGAGGCCAGGCGTCCCCCCACCAGGCCCCGCCTGGGCCTCTCGGCTCCGCCGCCCTCCGCTGCCCCCGCCCCGGCCCAGCCGTGCTTCCGCCGCAGAGCAGGACAGCAGGAGCCCAGGGCCCGCACTTACTCGGGAAGGTAAGTGGAGGAGAAGGAGCTCCACTTGTGTAGCGCGTAGGGCAGAAGCCGGCACTCGGGCGCCGCAGCGACAGCCCCGCCAGCCGCCATCTTGTCAGCCCCGGAGCGGCCGCCACCGAGCGCCGGCCGCGCCGGGAGGAGGGGGCGGGGCCTGCGCTTAAAGGGGCCGCGGCCCGCCGGGCCGTGCGCTCTCTCGGGGCCGGGCGTCTCGCCCGCGGCGCCGGGGCGCGGGGCCGCCCGGGTCCTCGGTTCTGCGCTCGAGTTCGTGTCGCCTAAGGCTCGTCAGGAGACCGACTGTGAGCAGCTGGGGGCCGCCCCCCGGGGCTCGGAGGCGGAGTGGCGCCAAGGACCTTCCTTGCAAGCCGAGGTAAGGAAGAAAGGCCAAGAGTGTCCTGAGAAGAAATAAACTGTAGTCAGGAGCCCGGAAGGGAAGATGAGAAGCCGGACTTGGGAGAAGGGACGCCTTTGCGACCTGGGAGGCCGCTGCCCTCCCCCGAGCGTCAGCCGCGGAAGGCAGCAGCGCCGGCGGCCGCGCATCCTCCGCCGCGGCCGCGGTCCTGCTTTCGAAGGTCTTGGCCCCGCGTGCCCGAGTCACATGGACACAGGAAAAGGAAACGCGCGGTGTCCGCTCGCCCCGTGGTGGTCGCAGTTTTGCTGCCCTCCTCGTGAGCGCTCGTGGCGAGCCCTCGCGCACCATCCGTGCCGTTGCCTCGCTCTGCTCGGTCGCGGTGTTCACCCAGAACAACGACTACAAAACACCTCAAGGAGTTGGGGGAGCCGCGTGGCATCGTCGTTGCCGTTGTTTTCCAGTTGCTAAGTCTGCCCGCTCTTAGGTCGGACAGAAACTTCGCCCAAAAGTCCAGAAAGAGCGAGAGGCAGGCCGAGTTGTCGGAGAAGGACCAGAGAGGGACCAGAGAGGGAGTAACAGCCCTCGTGCCCCGGATGCCATATGGGCATCGCACCGGCTCCTTATCAAAAAAGGCACATGCGCTCCAAGTATCTGGCAGCTTTAGATAATGCTCCCGTCAGGGACCCGTTTGCCAGGGTTATGCATGCTTAGTTCTTGGCTTAGCCACCGCGATTACCAAAGTACTCATCAACCCCCAAAAGCCCTGAGTGTCTTCACCTCCATCTGACCCATGGAAACACTCCCGCAAAGAGTTTCTCAGTGAAGGACCAAGTGAGTTGAAACACCTCCGTAATTGTATTCTCTTCCCGGTATAGGTATGATCGTTAAGCGGCCCAAACCTCCTCACATCTTTTCCTGAGCCCCTGTTACCCTAGGGGACAACTTAGTAGTGGCCTAACCTCGAATATCAGATGGAGAATGCCAAAAAGGGGCCGCCCGGCTGGGCTCCCGTCAGTAGAGAATGCCACCCTTGATCTCAAGGTTGTGAGTTCCAGCCCCACGTTGGGTATAGAGATGACTTAAAATAAAAATAAAAATCTTTGGGGAAAAAAGGAAGAAGGCCACAGAGTGTTCGCCTCTAAAATTACGTGTGCTTTGCATTTTGCAGCATGTTGGAAAAGTATCTGTTCCTCAGGGAAATGCTATGATCCGTGACTCAAGTCGGGAGTCTAAAGACAGTGGGAGAGGCCAGAGGAGGTTAGTCCTAAAGATGCTTGGTGGTTAACTCTGGGGGAAAGAGATACTTTTAGGGGGAAAAGATTAAGATGGTGATTCAGTTCAATTAGTTAGGGGCCCCAAATTTGCTAACTACACCTCCTACCCTGATGTAAGTAGAATCTTTGTTCTTTTCCAGACATAGAGTTATGGTTTCTGAGTGATCCTTTTATATTTATTTGAGAGAGAGAGAGAGAGAGAGAGAGAGAGAGAGTGTGTGTCAAGGGAGGGGCAGAGGGAGAAGGAGAAAGAAAATCTCAAGCAAACTGCTGAATGCAGGGGGGCGGGGGGCAAGCTCAATCCCACAACCCTGAGATGATGACCTGAGCTGAAATCAAGAGTTCTGGGGATCCCTGGGTGGCTCAGCAGTTTAGCACCTGCCTTGGGCCCAGGGCGTGATTCTGGAATCCCAGGATCAAGTCCCACATCAGGCTCCCTGCATGGAGCCTGTTTCTCCCTATGCCTGTGTCTCTGCCTCTGTGTGTGTGTGTGTGTGTGTGTGTGTGTGTGTGTGTGTGTCATGAATAAATAAATGAAATCTTTTAAAAAAAAAAAAAGAAAAAAGAAAAAGTCAGATGTACAACCAGCTAAGCCCCCCCCCAGCACCCCCTAAGTGATCCTTTTATTTATTTTTAAGATTTTATTTATTTATTCATGAGAGACACAGAGAGAGGCAGAGACACAGGCAGTGGGAGAAGCAGGCTCCATGCAGGGAGCCGGACACGGGACTCAATCCTGGAACTCTGGGATCACTTCCTGAGCCAAAGGCAGAAGCTCAACCGCTGAGCCACCCAGGTGTCCCTTAAGTGATCCTTTTAAAAAACAGTAAGCTAGTTCTTCCTGAGATGACTCTCAGTGACTTTCTATTCCAGTTAAGTAATATGGAAATCCCTTAGCAGAAGGCTTTCATATCCTGCCTTGATTACATCTCCAGCCTTCTTTCTTCTTTCTCCCTTGCAAGCTTTATTCCTGCCAAACTAAGCTAACACTGCATTGGCTCCTGTAAGTTCTGTGCTCTGTCTCGCCTTCAGGGCTTAGTCTAAGCCAAGCCAGGAGTACTCTCCACCATTCTTCATCTGGCCAACTCCTGCTCATTTTTCAGATCATTTCCTTCTGGAAGATCATTCTTCATCACCTATTTTGAGGTTAGGTGCCACTTTTATATTTAACTTGGCACCCTTAGTTTCCCTCCTTATCTTAGCAAATGTACAATATACTTTGATTTCTTCTTTTTCTCCTATTCTCTCTCTCCCTAAACTATTAAGTCTTATGTAGTTAGGAGTTATGCATATTTGTTCACAGTAGTATCCTCAGTTCTGTGAGAATGTCTACTACATAGTAGATGCTCAATAAATATTGATTGAAGAACAAAGAAATTATTCTAAAAAGGAACTTGGGTTGCAAAGGAAAGAGAATGCCAGAACTTCTCAGACAGCAAACATGTATCCCTGAGGTGTGATTGCCATAGAGAAAGACTTTATAAATGGCCAAATAATTTAAAGTATTCATATGTTAACATATACTATGATACTAAACCCAAAATGTACATGAATGTTTAAATAAAATAGAAGACTAAAGAAATTTAAAAATCTACAGTAGTCTGCTGGTAGCTCAGCTCTCTTAGACATATAGCTTTATATCTTCCTCTGCTTTCAGGGGATTGCCTTAGAAGATAAAGTACATTGTAAGGATATATGGGGAAGGCCTGGAAACTGTCAGCAGCCTTTTAGTCCCTCTAGGTCCCCCATACTTCAAAGGTTGTGACATATAGATGGCCTTATGGAGAACTGGATAATGTATCATTATTTTTCAGAAATCAAAAGCTCCAGGGACCCAGTCATCTTGTCATCCCTTAAAAGTAATCATCTTTGACTCTCTGACGCCTTCTCAGTATGCTTTTCATAGTAAATACCAGAGGAAATTATTGTATTTTGTTTGTCACCATTCACTATCTTTTCCTGTTAAAAAAAAATTAAGAGGCTGTGATGTACTAGGCTTTGTCTAGGTGCTATGAAGACAGGGACAAACAAACAAGCCAGACAAGGGCCCAGCTTTGATAGAGCTTACATTCTGACAGGGTAACATATAATAAATAAGTTAACTAGATCATTTTAGTCTGTACATTTTGAGTACTAAGAAAAAAACTACACTGGATTAATATTTAGATTGAATGGAAAAGGAAACTTCTCTAAAAAGATAATAGTTAAGCTAATAACTTATACAGTAAGAAAGCGCCAGGCATATAAAAGTTGGATAAAAAAACATTCTAGGCAGAGAGAATAAGTAAGTGCAATGGGCCTGAGACAGAAAAGGGGTTGGTGTATTCTAAGAACAGGAAGTGTATCTGAAGCATAGTGATGGGGGACAGTAGAGTCGGAAAAGTTGGACCCTAACAGCCATTGTAAGGAGCGAGATTGTGAGGGGTGCCGGTGTGTGGCTTCTGGTTAAGTGTTTGCCTTCAGCCCAGCTCAGGTAATGATCAGAGGGTCTGGGATCAAGCCCCACATTAGGCTCCCCACTGATTGGGGAGCCTGCTTCTCCCTCTCCCCCTGACCACTACTCCCCTGCTTGTGCTCACTCTCTCCTTCTCAAATAAACGAGTAAAACTCTTAAAAAAAAAAAAAGAGCCATGATGTTGAACTGTGAAGAAGAGACCTGTGCAGGGCCTCAAGCCAAGGAGCAGCATGATCCACTTTACATTTTGTAAAACTCACTCTGCAGAACAGAAAATGGGTTGGAAAAAGACAAGAGGTAAAGTGACGATATTTGACAGGAGGTCATAGTAGCCAGGCGAGAAATGATGGTGGCTTGGACTAGCAGAGGAGATGGAGAATAGAGGTTGAATTGGGAATATTTTAGAAGTAAAGCCAACTAGACTTGCTGGTGAGAGAGGAAAGGCAGGCAAAAAAAGAAAGAAACAAAGATAACTCTTAGGTTTGGGGTTTGCATCACTGGGTAGATATTGATGCTTTTATTGAGAGGGGAAGATTTAGAGTTAGAACAGTTTCAAGGTAGAAGGAATCAAGAATTCTGAATTCAGACATTAATTCAAAAAGCCAAGAGACACATGAAAAGATGCTCAATACTAATTGTTAGGGAAATGCAAGTCAAAACCACAATGAGATATCCCTTCACACCAGTCAGAATGGCTACTATCAAAAAGTTGAGAAATAACAGGTTCAGCAGGGATATGGAGAAAAGGGAACCCCTGTACACTGTTGGTAGGAATGTAAATTGGTACAGCCACTATAGGAAACAGTCTGGAGGTTACTCAGAAAATTAAAAATAGATGTACCTTATGATCTAGTAATTCTACTACTGGGTATATACCCATGGAAAATGAAAACCCTAATTTGAAAAGATATATGGGGCACCTGGCTGGCACAGTTGGCAGAGCATGTGACTCTCGATCTCGGACATGAGTTTATGCTAATGTTGGATGTAGAGCTTACTTTTTTATTTTTATTTTTTTAATATTTTATTCATTCATTCATGAGACACACACACACACAGAGAGAGAGAGAG